GTGCAGTATATAGTGGTCTATATAGTGCATCACGACGTTTGGTCTATATAGTGCATGATGCTGTGCAGTATATAGTGGTCTATATAGTGCATCACGACGTTTGGTCTATATAGTGCATGATGCTGTGCAGTATATAGTGGTCTATATAGTGCATCACGACGTTTGGTCTATATAGTGCATGATGCTGTGCAGTATATAGTGGTCTATATAGTGCATATATACGTGTGGTCTATATAGTGCATGATGCTGTGCATTAACGACAGGTTACCGACGCAGTATAACCGTTAGCAATTTCGTGTCTCTGATGCACGCTCGCGTAATGAATAGGAACGTGCTCGCATATACTGAATAGCACAGTTGTGTAGGCGGTCATCATGCCTTCAAGAATATGCTATCAATTTTCGCCTAGATTGAGATAGCTTTGAAACCACTACTTGGTCTTTTAACTGCTCGTGGCGGAATTAGCCTTGCAAATTGTGTTCTTTTGGTTTCTATACAACACGTTTCGCGGTGCAAACTCAATTGGTTTTGGGGTTGAGGTTGTAACTTCAGCGACATCTGTCTACGAAAATTCTTTCTCTTTATATTTTTACCTGTATCATTCATATAATATAATAATTAAATGAAGATGAAAGGAGCAAAAAATCAATGAAATTGACAGATCGAAACTGTAAATTGCAGTAAAAGGGTTAATAGTTATAGAAATAGTTCAATTGTTTAGAATTTTAGCTTTATTCGTCTTCGGTACAGTCTATTGGACTATGAATGATGTTTGTTATTAGACATTTCTCTGAATTCTCAAACTATCGACCGCATATTGTGGTCGAATGCCCACAGATAAATCAGCCGTATTGATGTTCAAAAGTTACAACAATCTTTCTGTGCTCTAAATCTATAGTGATATCAATTAATTATTTGGGAACTTTAGTTGCGTGTAAATATCAGTTGGGCCAATAAAGCGCTTCTCAACTTGAACCTTCTCGAACGCCAAACACATGGTTACGTTATTTCTAAAAAAACGTTTTCTATTGTTTCTATATAATATAACTCACGAATTAATGACACCCATCTGCCTTGCTGCATGAAATAGCCTACATCGATAAAATAAAACTGTTGCCATGCAATTAAAAACAAACCTAGCATTTAGGGATTTCAAGCAAGATGGCGTATATAAATTACCTAATGGAACATTACACGGTATTCATGAAAATCTATTAAGTAAACTTAGGACGCAGGCTCAGCTTAAACGCGTCGCTACCACTATAGAGTACCGAAGTGATGACGTCACGGTGGCATGACAACGAGCCTGCTGGTTCTACCCAATCGGGTTTGTCTATATTCAGGCCGGTACAGGAGATAATTTGCATATTTTGCCACGTGGTTTGTGTTATAACCAATCAGATGTAATCGCGTGTTCGTGACGTAAGAGTTGGTGGAGAAGGAGGAGGGGAGAAGGGAGAAGGTGGTGGAGGAGAGGGAGAAGCTAGTGGAGAAGGAAAAAGCTGGTGGAGAAGGAGGAGGGGAGAAGGGAGAAGGTGGTGGAGGAGAGGGAGAAGCTAGTGGAGAAGGAAAAAGCTGGTGGAGAAGGAGGAGGGGAGAAGGGAGAAGGTGGTGGAGGAGAGGGAGAAGCTAGTGGAGAAGGAAAAAGCTGGTGGAGAAGGAGGAGGGGAGAAGGGAGAAGGTGGTGGAGGAGAGGGAGAA